GTTGTGGGTAGGTGTTGTGATGGGGGTATGTTGGGGTGTTGTGGGGGAGCGTCTGTTGAGGGTGTTGTGGGTGTGTGTGGGGTGTTGTGGGTAGGTGTTGTGATGGGGGGTATGTTGGGGTGTATACGCGTTTGTTGTGAGGAGATGCCTATGGGTGTCTGGTAGGGTGTTACTAATGTACATTTTATATATTGAGTAAAATCACAGGTGGATACTGATTGATACCAAACATGTATATTTACTTCATCAGAGTTTTGGGTTCCGATGGAAGATTACTAGACTTCGACTGGCAAATAATATGACGGGAATCTCTCTACATGATCCGTAGGATAAATGTACAATGCCATTGGTCAATGCGCCATTTTGCAACTAGCCAAGGGCGATATATTCCAATCAGCAATCGAACTTTAAAACTAATGGCAGAGACTACTGTATTAAAGGGAAATAACATATTTAATGTATATGTAATCCTTTCACGGTGTCATGTTGACACATATGTAGAATGCCTTGCATGGAAAACATGAACATTTTGGATGTCTCAAGCCAAATAAATAGCTTAACATGAACAATTTGTGTTAAAATCAGTTTATTTGTATAAATACAGTAAATCTGTTGTGGGAACTGACGGTATCTACATGATAAAAAATGTTCTGAATATGAATATCCGAGTGTTTCAACGCCTTGTAGAATTTGACAAAAATGTCCACGCCCATATTGTGTCGGATTAGTTTCACTAAATTTGTACCATACATACTTTGATTGGAGTCGGAATTTATATTGATAAAAGAATTATCAATTTTGTATCAAACACGTGTAACTATGCTTCTAATATGTAGCCTTACCTTGTGGATGAGACGGGGAGACTATTTTGTTTCGTTGATGAACATCAAAAGAATCTCCTGGTCGCGTTACGGTAAAATTGACTGGCTTTGAAGTCGGTTGTCGCTTCTCTGTAATCGTCAAAGGGCAGGAATCGCCCTGGCGATTGGTCAGTTTTTTTTTACATGCAATCAAACAAATAGTTAGCCGCGTGCGTTCTGTTTGAAATGATTTATTTCAGGGTTGCAGAGAGCGCAAGGGAGCGTAATCACCGAAGTGTCGAGTATGAGCGTCTAATGATTTACCGTACGCAGCAAAATATCCGGGCTTGCGTGATTTAAACGAACAGTTTTGCTTTTAATGAAAAATATATTCGCCTGTTCACGTGAGCCTGATCAAACAATAAGCGTGACTGGTTATAGACCACCTGTATAAGATTAGGTAAATGTTTGCGTTTTGCGCACGTTGCCTTGTTTAATATACACAGAATGAGTTTTTATAATTTCTTATGAATCAATAACCCTTGATTTAATGCCTTTGGTTAATTTGATTCTTTCTTGCTGCAACCATGTCAGACACCTATATTTGTTTGTTTGTTTGTTTAACGGCCCATCGACGGCTAATGTCATTTAGGGCCATGGCGATTTATTTATTTATTTATTTATTTAATATATTTTTATAAACAAACATGTGAATAGCGAAGATAAAATCAGATTAAAATGTTCATTTCTAAAAACATTCGCATTGTATGTGTAGATATTTAATATAAAAAAGGGGGTTAAAAATAATTACAGAGATAACGAATATATTATATTAACTATGTGATATATATGACGCGAAAGAGGGTAAGGTGGATTAAAAGACATCCGAGTCTATAGGATAGACCGATGTCTTTGAAATAGTTAAATAATACCTTCGAGTTCACGGAACTGAAAAATGTTTCACTGTAAATAGAGTGTCACATGCGTAGCATGAAGGTGGATCTTCTCGTTTTAAAAGGTACGAATAAATAGGATATGTGTGCCCATTATGGAGCCGAGAGAGGACAACTTCCTCTCTACGATCCTTCCGACTAGGAACAGATGTTTTAAGTTTCGGTTGTGCTTTAACAAGTTTGTTGCCTGTCTGGAGAGACCAGCGTTGCTGCCATTCATTTTGAATGACTGTACGAAAAATCGAACTAATGTGCAAGAATTAGCAGAACAGCAGGTTGCAGCAACCTATGTGTTTTGCAAATGCATCAGAAAATTCAGACTTAGACGGTTTTTGTTTTGTTAATGAGGTGGGAGGATGTTGCCTATTTTCTTTTCCCACTTATTTTCCGAATCATGTCCCAAACATTTTTAGGAGACGTGTTTGAAGATACCTTGGATACATATTCTCTCCAGCTATTTCTTTTGTCAACTTAAATTGATCGCCGAACCTTTGCTCGCCAGATTTTCAAATCACTGTAATTTGAATTGGTCGGGCAGTTCAAGTAGCGTCTTAGAGCAGCTGCCCGACAACTGCGTGATTTAAAAGATTCTTCTGATAGAAGGAACTTCGTAGGTTTTGGAGCGGATTTTGGTATTGATTGTTTGGCAATAGAGGTCAGTGTTTTAGTTAAGGTTTTGTTTGGGTCTTCAAGGTAAGTAATTTTTTCAGTAGTAAGTTCCTCCTTGCACATGGTTGGAATTGAACCTAATCTGCTTTTGTACACATGCCATCGAAGTAAAGGATAATTAAGAGCAGCCCAAATATTCTTAAGGAAAACAGGGAAGTGATCACTCCCACAAAGATCATTATTAACCTTCCAGGCATAATCAAGTAGAATGGAAGGATGACATAATGACAGATCAATGTGGGTACGAGAGCCTGTAGCAGGGTGTAAATAGGTAGGGGTATTGTTGTTAAAAAGTTGTTTTTATAAGTAAATTCCTCAATGCGTCTTCCTCTCTCGCCTGTGTTTGGAGAACCCCACAGGCTATTGAGACCATTGAAATCACCGAGGATTATGAATGGTGTTGGGAGACGATGCTATTCAGTTGATCAGAAGTGAAGACAACACTCGGAGAAAGATAAATTGAACAAATGGTTATTTGTCTGTGTAATAATTTGTGTTTAACTTTATCTTTCTGTGAGGAATATTCTTATGGACAGCTACAGCGGTCCCACCTGCTACTCTGATACCTACAGTTGGAATGTTACTGTAGAGTATGAAATTCCTCAGAGTGATTGGGGTTTTAATCATAATTTCTTGTAGACAAAAAAATGGTAGGATTAAACTGTTCTGATAGATGCCGAGATTCTTCTATATTAGCCTTTAATCCGCGGATGTTAAATTGGAAAATTGAATTGTTCATATCTTTTTATTTGGACTTTATTTCGAAAGAGTTAAAGAGCGAAGCGTTGAGGCATTCGTCATTGAAATCATGTAGGACATTAAATCTATTTGTTGGGTCCTCCGATCCTTTGCCATAGGTGACATTCAGATCAGGCCCTTCAGATTTGCCCCCGCCTATTCTATTTTTTTTCTCTGGTCTGTTTTCTGGTAATGTGGGCTCTGACCTCAGTTGTGATCGAGGTATAGAGGAAAGTGAGCGAGATCGCTGCGAACGCATATGTGCCCTAGATGGGCCAAGTTTTGGAGGGTTTTCTCCTGACGAGAAATGAGTTTTTGAAGCATTGACTGTTGATGGTGGTGTAATTTCTGGTTGTTAGTGAGGTTTGTTGTTTTTCGTTTTGGTCGTGAAACGGGATGGATCTCCCGTGAGGATCCTCAGGTTCTGTTGGTCAGCCATGTCTGGGACTTGTGAGTGTCCTTAGATACTTGAACCGAAGCATCTTTGACCATAACATTGTCAACCGGCGCCTTGTCTCGAGTTACCTGTGCGTGAGAGGGTCAATGTCTGCACTCTCGACTATTCTCCTGGCCTCGGGGAAAGAGACACCTCGGGTATATTTAACCCGTAATATATCTCTCTCTCTCGGTTCCAGGTAGGGCAGTCTCGTGAAGAGGCAGCGTGCTTCCCCTCCCAGTTGCCACAGCGGAGGTTGGCGATGTCACAGTCACTTTGTTCGGTGTTACCCTCACGGCCACAATACTGGCAGACCGTTTTCCGTCTACATCGCTTTTCGTGATGACCGTACTTCTGACAGTTTCGACATCGCAATGGATTTGTGATGTAGACGGAAACGTTGTACATCTGATATCCGATCGTTAGTGTTTGGGGTAGTTTTGGTGATGAGAATGGAATGATGAAGGTGTTTGTTCGTATTTTGTCTTTGTTCTTTCTGGTCCACATCCGTCTCACCTTGGAGAACGGGACGCTCTCCTCCTGGAAATATGCAAGTATGTCGTCATCGGTGTCAGTGCGCAAGACTGGGCACCTAGTTACCCCCTTGCTGCAATTAAGTGATGAGTGTGGTTTCACACTGACACCGATGCCCCCAAAACTGGTTATTCCGAGTAGGTTCTTCGCCTGTTGTTGACGATAAACCTCTTTAACGAGATCGCCCGATCCCAGAAGCTTAACAGATTTCACATCTCCAGCCATTCCCTTCATGTCATTCCTTAACAGCAGAGGCGACAACGAGGCCGTTGTTTTGTCACTCTGTGCGGAGGTCATCACAAGAAATTGTGGGAAATGCGTGTTTTGTGTTGTGCTTTGTGTTATATTTGAGCTAGAGCCCTCGTTGCGGTTTTGGGTTTGTCCTTTTCGGGTGCCAAAAACCCTTTAATTTGATGGGTAGGAAATATCTGAACATTTGACAAGAAAATAGTATTTTGATAAATGTATTCAAATTTGTATGAGAAGGTATACTACTAGATTTAAAAAAATAGAATATCGAGGTTTCAGGGTGTCGGGGAGTATTTGTAAATCCTCACGAAGGCTGTGTTATCAAAGCCAAGTAACATCAACAGTGAGTTTGCTACTACGGAAATATATTTCCCTTCGATCCGGCAGAAGATCGCATCGAATGAGGTAACCCAATTCCATGTAAAAGTAAATGTATTTGCCCTAGTTTTTTAAGACTCTGGAATCGAGTTACGACTTTGTTGACACTAAGATATATATCATCTTAAACTTGCTTCATTGATAGTGAGCGTAACCACTAAAGTGTCGAGGAGGAGCTTCTATTAATTTAATTGTTGTCCACAGGTGTCCTGATTTACATATCGAGATAAATATCGTTTCCTTAATAACAATCTCGTTGGCCCTAAGTGTTGAAGGGGAATCCGCAATCTCATTGAGATTTCTGCAATATGAGTCTTCAGACATGGTAAGAAAGGTATGTGTTTCATGCTTCATTGACAACAGCCACGACGTGAATCTGAGACGAATTGAAGACCATTTCAAGATAATCACCAAAGGTGTCCGTAGCGGTCATAACCTTTGTCGTAACCTTATGTTGTAAGTTTGTCCGTCTGTATTTGATATGTAACATCTAAATATTGGTATTCGAAATAAGCCCAGTTGCTCTGGAAAGGTAAGTTTCCACTTCATCAATGACACCGCCATGTAAATGTTTTCGGTAACGAGCAAAGTAAGCAACTGATGTAGACATTCAAAGGGGTAAATATAATCGACGTGGTCAATACATTTCTTATCATTCAAAGAAAAAATCCCCATCAATGACCTTTTTACTCAAAATATTTCCATTTTTGCAAAAAAAACAACACCTGAAGTATTTTGATGACTGCATTTAACAAAGAAATAACTAACAAGAACATATAGCGGACATCATGCTTCCTCTTACATTTCCACAAACTGTGAGACTATTAGCTGACACGCATTATATTTTGATATAATTGTTATACAGATTATGTTTAAGGTAATGCGCATATAAATCTGATCTGTAATCAAATTGGACGTTTTCCCAACATTCCTGAACATCTGAAGATTTGACGGATGTTAAAATGGTAAAAGTTTGAAGAGGCACGGTAGTCTAGTGGTAGGACGCCGGGCTCGTGACCGAAGGGTTGCGGGTTGAGTCACATCACGGCGCTGTGTTGTATCCTTGAACAAGATACTTTACTCCGCTTGATCCAGTCTACTCAGCTGTAAATGAGAACGTAGTTGGGTAGTGCTAGAATTGTTGAATGTTAGCTGTGAGCGCCGAAATGGCAACACCGGCTGTATGTTCCTTATAAGGGAGCTGAGAAAGATATTGGCTGGTTGCAAAGGCCCTATAACCACGGATAATAATTTGTGAACAATTTTGAGACATCCTACGAACTAGGTCAGTATATAAGAACCTCGAATTATTATTATTATTATCAAAATGCATTTATTATGTCTTCTATAAATGTAAGGTTCCTTAAACCAGGGGTTACCGCTGGAGTCTGCTAACATCATTAATGTAACATTTTGGTTAAAAACCGACTGCATGCCATATTTTTACGTTTGTTTATTTCAAAAAGGATAGATAATTATATAATTCGCAAAAATAGGCTGGGACTGGTACCAATTTGTTTATATCATCACGTATGTTTTTATTGTTGACAGGTGTAGTTTGAGAGTACAAATGAAGCAAATGTATAAACATATGTTTTCAGCAAATTCAAACATAATTGATAAACTGCGTTTAGTATTATTTATAACTAAAGCCATCAAACTGGGAACCAAAACCAAACTGGTTGTAAAAATTAGTACAGTTTGTCAATCGTAGTTTTTCTTTACAACTGATGAATATTTAGAAATGATTTAAACAAATATTATGGCATCACCCGGTTCTTTTTTATAACCGATAGAAAAGTCAATCTTTGACAAACAAAAGACTTCTAGAAATGTCAATGAAATACCATCAAATGTGTTTAATACATAGCCACCAAGATACAGTTACATAAATAATAGTTATGATAACAATAATGAAAATAAGAAAAGGATCACAGTTACAGTTATACAAGAAAATCATCAACCTATTCAGTGTCAGCACTCTAGCTTCTTCACTTCTTAACTTATTTTGATGAGAGTTTATTCACAGAATACCTCCTGACATTGTTTTTGTGTGTCAGGGTTCCAAGGTCAAGGTCAACATATTTCAGGGTATCAGGATCAAAGTAGTTGTAACCATTTATAGAACATCAAACACTGAAACTAGTTTCACCAGGCGGCGGGAGCATTCATGTCTCACAGACATTTTTTAATTTTCTATATTTATTCTATTGTTTGGACTAAGAAATTGTGAAAGTGTAAAGTAAAGTAAGATTTTTTTTGGAGCTAGAATACCATTTCATTTTGTTTTAATAGGCTCGATCAGTAAAGCAGCACATAAACGTATCATCAAAATAAACAAACATCGTGATGTAGACGTCTGCTTTCTCAAAACTAATATGATGAGAAAAGATGAGATAAAATGACATTTCTTAAGTTCTAAGGTTTTATACACACGACACTTTGATTAAGAGATCGTCTCACTGAAATATGAAAAAATCAAAAATGTTTTATCTTATGGGAAAGCTTAGGTTACAACAATTTTTTAATATTGAACCACATGCAATACTTTTGTACTTCTCTAAAATTCTGCTTATCAAGCTATTTGTATTTTTATCTGAAAGTACTTAACATTTTTATATTTCTCCATGGCTCAATGAATCAATTCGGCTTTATCAGGATAAACACGAACTGTCTTAAAGAAGTTAAGTTTATTTGCAATATGCAAAATAATGTTTTCGAATAAAGACATACTTTTGTCTTCTTCTCGAATTATGGTAAAGTTAATGTGTGTATTCATACCACTACAAGCTTTTTTATGAATGAATTGTTTTTATTAACAAATAGTCTAAATGAATTGATATTTGATTTCACACTAATTAACCAAAATTAAACTATTTTCTTTAAAATAATCTAAATATATACACGTCATTTCTCAACTTCAAATCATAATGTTCCTCTTTATACCTTATATGGGAAAGAAAAATGGTGAATAATTAACAACAAATTACTACGATAGGATATAAAAAAGTACCAAACTCCATGAACAAAGGGTCTCATACTAAGCAGTGCTTTAATATTTACCCAATTCAGTAATTGACTGGATTAAATATGAGAATTGACAAACAATTTGCTGTTTATGCCAATGATAAAACAATATCAGAATTGACATCTATTCTAAGAGAGAATATTATTATCTATTTTGACGTGGCTATTTAAATAATCTTATTTGGTTTACAATTATTAGTATCTTAATTATGAGTACGTGGTTATTTAATGTAACACCTGATTAAAAAAATCACAGACACATTTTATGGTGAATTGAAAACCTGTTAAGCCAGAGGCGATATTTCATAGTCGTCTTGTTAATAAAACATGTAAGGAGTTATGATAACTGTCGTCAAATTGTTATATATTACACACAAGTATCTCAAATACATTTACGACTGATATCATAGAAAGCTTGAAATATTACAAAAATATGTGCATAATAAAAGGAAAGTTAGTCTAATCTACAAACAAACGTATATATACCAAACTTTATACAAAATAACATTGTTACATGCTAAAGAGGGTAGGGTTAACATTACTGGGATATACAATATAAGATGATAGTTTGTTTTGAACCTAGAACAGATTTTGTCATTTTAAACTTCATTTGGATATTTTGCTTCGTTTCTGTATAACCAAATACAAATGTTCTGAACAAAATATGTCTTGTGTTTTGTAATCATATGTTTTTTTTTACTGGATGTCAACATTGTTGATCGTTGATGTTGATGACATTTCCACTCGATTGATTCTTGGAAAAATTATACGGTCCCAAACCATTGATGCATTTTATAAGTTACAATTAACTTCGTGAGCTGGCATCCATTTCAAAATGTGTTAAAGTACCGTCACATGATAAACCTAAAATCAGTCGGGAATCACGTTTATAACAGACAATATATAATTTCTAATGACTAATTGATATATACAGGGAGATGCGAATCATTCAACAGAAACAAAAATCGTATACAAGAGAAAAGATGTATATGCTGTGTGAAAATTTATTCGATTTAAGTATTTTTCATCTGTTATTAGTTTTAAATGAATGACACAGCACTGTTATCTTGGACATTTAATTTACCTTTCCTCCTATATCCAGAACAAAAAGAATTCTGTTAAACACACCAAAGAATTAAATCTTATGTGTTTAAATTTGAAATATAATCATACATAATTAAAACAATATAAATAGCTGAGATGGGAACTTCTGTCTTATGGTATAAGAATAGTTTATTCTGAGAACTAAGGTTTTCTGGTAAGTATTTTTGAAGGCGTCCAATACTTATTTAAATAGAAATATGTCTATATTTACGAAAAATTTGACAACTTTCTTTGTGACCTATTCAGCAGTAAACTGAACAACGTCCTTTGTAATTACATCGATGGTTTCCTTATCAGTATCCTTCACAACTTCGTTTTCCGATGCCTGTTCAACCTCCTTTGAGGATACTGTACTATATGATCTACCATCTTTAGCATGTTCTCATACAGTTCTTAAGGCCTTCATTTCCGCATTCTGTTAACCCTACTGTCTTGACAATTTCAAGTTGGGTCTGTTTAAAACTTGTCTTACAAGTTTCAGTAACAGCTTTGTCAACAACTCTCGTTGCTAAATTGTTCTTTACAAAAGTCTCTGTGGTTTTCTGAGTCATCTTTTTAGTCGTCTCGGTAACGACTTCATTTCCAGATATGTGTAAGCCGCCAGTAACGCAGCTTACGACTGCCGATCCAAAGTTCACGCAGGCGCCTTTCGTGTCTCCCTGACTTAAATTGTATACACCTTCAGCTGCATCTAAAGCTGCGGCTGCCCAAGGAAAAATTAAAGAAGCTCCAACTTTTCCTGCAACTTTTAAGGCTGCCCATTGCATACTTTCGGAGTCCCTGTAAGCAGCAATTATACTATCAGCCAATGCAAGTTACATTCAAGTTCACTGATATAGGTATTAATCAAGTACATCTTTGCATTGTTGCCAATATAATCTATAAAAATAAATATTTTACATTCAATAATAATTAAACGACGCAGCTGTGAAATTACAGTCAGCGTATAGACGGTTTATCACATTTCTATATATCTTTCATCTATAATGGCTTACCATTTGGACATGTTGGATTCCCTTTCACTGCACTGTTGTTTTGACTACATGAAAAAAGAACGAGTTGAGGTATAGAACATTTTCTTTGTTATTGGTATATTGCATATATAAATTAGATCAAATTTAGAGCCACCCAAGGAAAGAATTCATATAGACTTGCCTGTTATTCAATCCATTTGACTATTACATCTGTCAATAACACTAGTTGAAATTAAATGAAGACATGTATTCCGACTCCACACTTAATAGCACTTTAAACTATTATACTGGAAGGCAATCATCATAAACCTAGTTTTTTTTTATTATTCGGTGACATTGAAAGTATATTAAAGTAATTCATTGGTACCAACTCGATACCCAAATAGTATAACCCTAGACATCTCTGTTTATTGAGATAAAGTTGTTTTAATGTTTTAAAACATTTTGGCATTTCTGACGTTCAAAGAAGATCCAGCCTTTTGAAAAGAACAGACCTGATATCCCTTCAATCACCCTAGGCCTCTCGTTTATTGGGAAGTTTGAACACACTTAACCTTTGTAACCTTACTTAACCTTTGTAACCTTACAGCGAGCTCTTTTTGTATCGTATGCGTGGTATATTATATAGTTCAAGCAAAAATCTAAATATAGTAACACAAAACGAAACTACAATACTATGCGATCTTTTTTCTTTACATCGTGCAGAACGGACTTTAAAAATTTGCGACGCTCTGATTGGTTATTAATAGATCAGAAGTTAAAAATTCACCGTTTTAAACATTTCTGTGGGAATAGAAAATATGTTTAACATCGTAACTTCTTCGCCGGGAATAAGAACACGGGAGGGTAAAGGCCTACCGATCGACAAGAGTAGCTATTGAGCGAATTTTACCAGTATTGACCTCTCACAGACAGGTATTATGTTTGACTCTAAGGTCTACTGATTTCAATATGTGCCTGTCACTCTATCATCAAGAAAACAGTCGTCAGCTTCACGAAAGCTAGGCCTGTGCAAGTCTAGTCTCAACGACAATGCTGATGTGCCGCCTGTAGTATGTCACTATGTACGCGCATAAATGTGTACTTTTATGTCGGTTAAAGGTGATTGAAATAATTTATGCTTCGCCTACTTTGTCGGTTCGTGTCGGTGTCACAATATTCCCCCCCCCCCCCCCCGAAGGTGTTAATTGCACTTTGTTTTTGTAAGCAGATGATACATATTCACATACAATGATACATGTATGTGAATATGTATCAAAAGGTTGGCAAATCTGCATTTGTGAAATTTGTACAATTTCACAAATGCAGATTTGCCAACCTTTTGAAATTTCTAACGTAACATCACGGACTTAGATAAACTAATTCCGTGGTAACATAAATAATCATCAAAAAATGTCACGTGTTTATGCCCCCTAGGTAAAAATAACACTCGTGTGTACATCAATCATCTTTTGAGTTCTTTCTGATGAAACCATTAGGTCTTATACTCAATCAGAATAAGTTTATTGAGCAAGTTTATTGGCTGAAAATGGTCAATTTTAGCAAGGCAAGCCTAAATATCAACTGTGTCACATTGTATGTACAGTAATTAATAGCTTCTAGCCAGGCTATAACTTCATTAATTAAACATCCATGCTAGAAGATTTCCTACACTGTAAATATTTTGAGAAATCTTGTCTAAGAAATTTAGGAAATGTATATATACATTATAATTTTGAAACATTTCAACATAAAACAAAAAAATATTCAAGAACAAAGCAGCCTCAAGATTCTCTAAATGAAAATATAACAAAACATAACAAGCAAGTCAACATTATTACCAGGGTTTTTGCCAGCTATTTTGGGAAAGGGTCCCTGAGCAGGAATTGGGAAAATATCATTGGCATTTGGCAAAAATTGGGAAATTTCATCAGTATTCCCACGTCAAGGGAAATTTTAGTTTTTATCAAATAAAACCTTCAATGTGATTTGCAAAATTTTTTCATCTAGCTGTTTCTTACAGTAAAATGTATAGCAATAAATAAACACGTCACTTTTCAGTGTTTTTGTTGATTCAATTTCAAATTCTTGTTATTTTTGTACTTTTATGTATGTGGTTGGGCAGTGCTAGAATTGTAGAATGTAGAATGCTAGCTGTGAGTGCCGGAATGGCAGCACCGGCTGTATGCTCCCCAGGGAGTTGAGAAAGTTATTGGCCGGTTACAATGGCCCTATAACCACGGAAACAGGGTTCAACACTAACACTAGTCTGCTAGTCCTGGACTAGTAGATTTCAGCAAGGACTAGTGCATCACCTAATTACCTAACTGGTCCTTTGGAAAATAAAATAACATATACCGGTATTGCATGATTATTCTCAAAACTTTCCTCAAACTTTACCATATTTGTATGGCAGTAGTTATTTTAAGTCCTGTGGACTGTCCCCTACTTTTGCTGTTTAATGCTGTAGATCGCGAGGTTTCCATACATCAGGAAATCTGGGACAAGTTACATTGACAAAGGACTAGTAAATAATATATTTAACTAGTCCTGTGTACTACCAAGCAAAAAAAAGTAAGTGTCTAACCCTGGGAAAATGATTTGTGAACTGCTTTGAGACGACCTAGGAAATAGGTTGTGATGAAGCGGTATATACATTTGTAAGAACCTCAAATTATTATTATAGGCAACTACCAAAGTTTTCCCCAGGTCTGTTACCACCCAGAAATACACTCATGCTAGCCCCTTCCAGGGGTCATACAGGGCTAGGATATACAATATAGTAATTAGTTCAGGGGTCATACAGGGCTAAGATATACAACATATTAATAAGTGAACTATAGGTTACAGGTTGATTTTGAAAAAATATAAACAAGCCCAACTTATGTTTCATAGTAAACATCAACATTTGTTTACTAGTTTGGGGCTTTGGGCTTGTCAATTTAGGCAAATATGTAGATTTTTCATGAACCGAAAAAAAATTGGACATTGTTTACATGAACTAGGCAAACATATGCGTTATGGTTTGAAGTGTTTCTTCCTTAAAACGGGTTTAAAAATTAAAGTTATCAACGTTTTTGACGAATCATGTTTCGCAATACAAATATTTGCGGTTTGAAAATCGCGGGCTTCAAAATTTGCCACATTCTGATTGGTTGAAAAAGACCAGAACAGGAAACTTCACTGGGAAGCCTGCATGATCAATATAAGAGTTTGGAGTGAATTTTAACAGTTTTGACCTCATCACAGACAAGTTTCATGTTTGACTCTAAAAGGTCTACCAATTTTAATATGTGTTTTTCACTCTTTCAACAAGAAAACAACTGTCGGCTTCACGAAAGATAGGCCTGTGCAAGTCTAGTCACTTCAGTGCAAAGGAGAACCGATCAGACGAAGAGATTCTTTGTTTATCAACGACAATGCTGATGAGCCCCCTGAGATACATGTATGTACGCGCATATGTGGGTTAAAGGTAAGTATGCGTAGCCTACTTTTTCAGTTCGTGTCTGTGTCACAACACGACTCCCCCGTCCCCCTCCCTACCCTGGTCTGATTTGCTTCAAGTCAGTCGCACATGCTATACTGATATGGGTCACAGAACACATAATGCTGAGACCCATATCAACATAGCATATATAGTGTATTTCAGAGGTTCAAGATGGAAAGTCGAGGGGGATTCGAGATTCATTTATATATAATAAGGCGGCAATTGCTGGTAGTTTGTAATGGGTTAAGATGTACAAAATGTATTTAGACGTGTTGAAAAAAGTTTCTTTTTACAAGTTATTTAATCAGTTTTGTCTCTTCTATTTAATTAAAAACAACGAAACTTACAAAAAATGACAAACATCAAGCATTCCATTAAGTCTCCTTAATGCATATTATATATATATGTGTGTATGTGAGGGTGTGTGTGTATGTGTGTTATGGACTGTGGTCTGAGTGTACAAACATATATATGATTTGCTAAGAAAGTGTTTTATAAGTTTTCAAATGTCATCAAATAATGTTTCTTTTTCTTTCTTATAATTATAACTTGGTTGAATGTTCTAGCCTATATGTTTGTAAGTGTATATGAGTGTGTCTTGTTGAGCAATGTATTAAATGTATGCTTTCTGTCCATCTATACCGGTTAAGAGAAGACTTATATAGGCTAAGCCTCTTGTCTCATCCAATTGTTCAATTTTTTTGTCCAATAAAATTTGTTGAAATAAATATTAGTCCCCTTTACATGTACCAGGGATGTGTAGTGGACTACACATCCCTGCATGTACAATGTCTTTTACCATTAACGTTATTATTTCTAATATTTGTTCTACCTTTAATTGTATCTGTATTTAATAAAGGCATGAATTGCACTTATTTTTTTGTAAACAAATGATATATGGTTATAAATGATAAATACATACTTGCCAACCTTTTGATTTTTTTTATGGGGGAAAAGCCGTGTGCTCAAAATAAAATATTACAAAATATTAATAATTATAAAAGATGTGTATATAAACAAGAGGCCCAATGGGCCTGCATCGCTCACCTGGTATTAATCTCACACTTGTAAACTTAAAAGTGGACTAAAATACAGCTACAGGCAGAATATCAGTGTGACCTTGAATGTCAAACAATGACATTAGGTTGAAAGTGGGTCAAGGTCATTCATTTGAACAAATTTGGTAGCCCTGATTGCTACAGGCCAAATATCAGTACCCTGGGCCTTTTGGTTATTGAGAAGAAGTTGTTTGAAGATTTTAAGACATTTGACACCTGTGACCTTGAAAGTTGGTCAAGGTCATTCATTTGAACAAATTTGGTAGCCCTTCACCACAGCATGCTACTGGCCAAATATCATCACCCTGGGCATTTTGGTTATTCAGAAGAAGTTGTTCAAAGGTTTTAAACATATTTGACCCCTGTGACCTTGAAAATGAATGAAGTTCATTTATTTGAACAAATTTGGTGGCCCTTCATCCCAGCATGCTACTGGCCAAATATCACCACCTTAGGCCTCTTGGTTATTCAATAGAAGTTGTTTAAATGTTTTAAACATATTTGACCCCTGTGACCTTGAATATAAATCAATGTCATTTATTTGAACAAACTTGGTAACCCTTTATCCCAGCATGTTACTGGCCAA